CGCAGCCCCCCAGGGATGGCGAGGTCTCATTTGAATCCGCCGCGGGTGCAGACTGTATTGGGCCCCCCAGCAGCCCTCGAAAGTGGCGACAGTTTCACAGATCGCAGCCCCCCAGCTGGCACGCAGCGACGAGCGAGGCGAAAGGCAAGGGGGAAGAGAGGGGCGGGGGGGGGCGGGAAGGAACCAAGGAAGGAAGTGAGGATGGCGACGCGCGAGCAGTGCTCTATTCAAAACGAGAACCCAACGCAGGAGGGTTGGGAACAATACAAATGCTCGCGGGCCTCACCAATCTGATTCAAGATGTTGCCCCAAAGTGTACCTGGTACTGTTTGTTGACAGGGATGGTGGTGGTGGTGGGTGGTTGGGGGGGGCACATCGGGTCGGCCGCGCATGCTCCAAATGTGAAGCAGAGTGCGTTTTGCATTGTTTTTTTTGACAGGGATTGTGGGGGGGGGGGGTCCGCATGCTTCCTGGTTGGCCGCCAGTCGCCTGGGGGAGGGGGTATATATTGATAGGGAACAGTGATAAACCCGTTCCCGAAGGGGAAGAAAGGGGGTTGGAAGAGGAAGCTCCCCAGACCACCCACGCTCAGAGAGCTGGTGGGATTTGGGTTCGGAAGGGGCTTGCTATTCTTCAGGTCCGTCCATGTTCGGTTCCGTCGCGCTCCTTGTGCACCCAGGCGCTGCTGCGGCCAGAACGGGCCTCCATATCTTGCTCAGCGTTCCTCACTGTAGCAGCTCTTGACTGTAGCCAAGGACAGTCAGCCCGCACAGTAAGGAAGGATGGGCAACCTTCTCAAGGGTACCCTTGCATCCCTGCCTCCTCGGTCCATCTTTGGCCACTTCCGCTGGTCGCGCCCCGCTCGAGAAGCTTCGAAATGGGCGTCCACGGCCCTTGCATCCTTATCGCGCAACCTTCTGCTACGGGCCGACTGTATCTTGCTCAGCGTTCCTTACTGCAGCAGCTCTTGACTGTAGCCCAGTACTCGTGGCGATCCAGAAACGACCCCGCGTTCGGCGCATCTCGCCCTCCGCGGAAGGCCGGCGGAAGGCCGGCGGGAAGTGCGACGGCAAGCGTGCCCGCGGCCGGAAGCCAGACGGGCAGAAACCCAGGGAGGCCAACCTTTTCTGGGATCAATGACGGGCCAACTTTCCACCACCACCACCACTACTATATGTAGGACGGGAGGTCCTCCTCCTCTCCTTTTTCTCCTTCTCCTCCTCCTCCTCCTCCCTCTCCTTCCAATGGTAGTGGTGGTGGTGGTGGTGGTGGTGGTGGTGGTGGTGGTGGTGGTGGTGGTGGTGGTGGTGGTGGTGGTGGAAAATCGGCCCATCAATCAAGGATTTTCCAGAGTCGGCCATCTGGGAGGCCTCCATTTGCCGTCTTCCCGACGAGGGCCGCTCCTTCATGCAGAAGGCGACCCGCTCCAGGGGCGAGCTGGTGTCCGTGAGGCTGCACCGCACGCGCGCGGACAAGCGATGAGTGAGCTTCGCCCCGGTCGTATGGCGGCGCGCAGAGGGGGGCGGCCTCGTGAGAAGCAGGGGGCCGGCCTCTTCAACGGGCTCCTGGAGGCCCCCGCGAAAGCCGCCACGGGGCCAGGAGGGGGGCCGCAGATATACCTCTGCGAACGGGGCCTGTGCGGGGGCAAGGGGGGGCCAGGAGCCTCCCCACCTCTGCAAAGGTGCCCCCGCTTTCCCCCCCGAAGGCCCCGCGCCGAGGGAGAGCGACGGCGCTCCGCCCACCCTGCGCGCGGCCAGAGATGGTGGGCCTGCTTTCCACCACCACCACCATAAGTAGGAGGGGGAGGGGGTCCTCCTCCTCCTCCTCCTCCTCCTCCTCCTCCTCCTCCACCTCCTCCTCCTCCTCCTCCTCCTCCTCCTCCCCCTCCTTCCCCTTCCCCTTCCAGCTCACGGTGGTGTTGGTGGAAGACCGGCCCATCGAGAGAGCAGCCGGCCGGCCGGCGCACACGGCACGCGCCGCGCGGCGAGCGCGCACCGGGCAGGGCAGCGCGCCCGAGCCCGGCGCGCGCACGCCTTCGCGGGCAGGGCGCGGGCGCAAAACGCGGGGGGGCGGAGGGAGGCGCGGCCTCTCGCCGCGGGCAGGCCGGGTGCGGGGCCGGCGGCCTCTCGGAGGCCACGCGGGCGCAGCTGCCCTGCCTGGGAGCAGATCGGCTCCAAAGGAGTCGCAGCAGGCGTTTTTTTATGGCCGTTTTCGGCCTCTGGGGGCCCTCGCCGGGCTTCGAGAGCGACAGAGAACGATTCGGGACGAGAAACTGGCCCTAGAGAAGTGGTCCGGACCTCCGGGGCCCACGCATCCAAAAGATCGGAGCAGCTGGATGTCTGCCCTGGTACTCGAAAAACAAACACGCCATAAGCATATAAACTTTTGGCGCTCCGCAGGGAGTTCTTCGATCCGCGCTGGGCTTCCCTGGCGGCGCCTCTGGCGCCGCCCCTGGCGCGCTCCGCGCCCAAGATCCAAGACATACACGCGGGGCGCCAACATTTTTTTGGTTTTGGGCGTTGTTTCTTCATCTATGTACGCCCGTCTCGAGACGCAACACGTGCTGTGCTCAAAACGTCCGTGTTGGCTCGGCAAGTGTTGGCCCACGTTTGGGCGAACGCATCCCGCCAACCGTGCGTTTTCAGTCTGCGCGTTGAGTTCCGTGTCAACACGCTACGGATTGCGTGTTGCGTATCGGGGCGGCTAACCAGGCGGGCTCGACTGCACGTATGAGAGTGATCGACCCTTCGCCAGAGTGAGCTTCGGTGCGGGCCCACTGGGGTCCCCGGATCGACAAACGCGATGCGATAGTTGGCACCGTCTTGCGCGCTTGTGGTTGGCCCCCCCGCGGACCCCAAAAAGCCGCGCACGAAAAGTCTCATTCTTGCGTGCAGCCCGCGGACGGCAGCGGGGGTGCGATGAACGTGGGGGATTCGAGGATTCCACGGAAGAGGCCTTGAGGTCCTCTGAGCGGCCCCTACACTGTCAGAGCGGGCCCAGAAGGTGCAGGAAACGTGCACGCTTCTTCAGCCCACGTTAGTTGCCCCCCTGTCAGCGAACACCCGATGAGGGTGCTGCAGCTTCGCGTCGTGCCTGTGGGGCTCGTATGTAACGATCAGGAGCTTTGGCCTGGCGTTTCGCTCTGCCGGTTTGGGCCCGCCTCGCCTCGGCGTGACACGCCACAGTCAACCCGCATAGTAAGGATGGCCAGCCTTCCCAAGGATACCCTTGCATCCGTGCCTCCTCGGCCCATCGTTTGCCACTCTCGTTGGCGGCGCCCCGCTCGAGAAGCTTCGAAATGGGCGTCCACGGCCCTTGCATCCTTATCGCGCAACCTTATGACACGGGCCGACTGTATCTTGCTCAGCGTTCCTTACTGCAGCAGCTCTGGACTGTAGCCCAGTACTCGGGGCGATCCAGAAACGACCCCGCCTTCGGCGCATCTCGCCCTCCGCGGAAGGCCGGCGGAAGGCCGGCGAGAAGTGCGACGGCAGCGTGCCCGCTTTGGACATCATTATGACACGGGCCGGCTCCAACCGCGTCCCCATCTCCAAGCGTCAGCTTCCCGAGCCTTTCCGGGCAGCGACACGCCAAAGTATCCGGCCGCAGATGACGTGCCGCCGGGACCGCCGCCGAGGCGGCACGCTGAGCAAAAGCTCCCGACCGTAGCGCTCCCTCGGCGACGTTGGGAGCTGCACAGTGGAGACCAATGCCAAGAAACGCCCTGCTTGCCCCAAGGGTGCCCTGGGCTTCTTGGATTTCGATGGCTCTGCTGTGGAAAGCGTGCCGTTCCCACACCAAAACTCGATGGCCGCCCAGGGGTCTCAGGGCTGGGTTTCTTATGGATGGTTTCTGGTGATCGAGCTCCTACTGTAAGCCAAAGTTCCCCACCGTAGCCTTCCCTCGGCGACGTCGGGAGCTATAGCCCAGGCGAGACCACTTGGCTCCATCATCCGCCGGGTGTGCTCGCTTTTCTCCGCAGACCTCCGGCGGCTCGCCAGAATCTGGGCGGCCAGTGTCTCTCCGCTTTCCGGTCTCTGGGCATCTGTTCTGCGGGCCCCGCGGGGATCGTTCAGAAACAACCCGGGATGAAAGGCCGGCCTTAGCGATCGTTTATTTATTCATTGTTTTGCCGATCGGCGCGGGCCCTCGCACCCACCCCCCCTGCCATGGAGTAGATCTTGGCTGTTTTTGGCGCCCGTTTCAGACAGGTGGAGTCGCCCACACAGGACGCACTGATGCAAACAGTCGTATTCAGGAGGGGTCCAGAGTCAGACACCCCCCCTCCCCCCCCTTTCCTCCCAATGTCGAAGCGCCGAAGAAGAAAACGTTCCAAAACGTCGGGATGTCTGGGGGCTCACATCTCGAACAAATCGAGCCGCTGGACGTCTGGGCCCTGGACGCCCGCCCGAGGAGCCAATCCCCAGCTCTCCGGCGGGCGACGCTGGATCCCGATGGAGCCAAAGGGCAGGGCCTTGCCTGGGGTGCATGTTCGCTCTGCTCTGCTCTCCTCCCCCTGAGGCGAAATTTCTTTCGTCCTCAATCACTCTCCCTCCCTTTTTCCCCCCACATAGCCAGGGGCGGCGACAACTACACGCAGAAGGCAAGGAAGATGACCCCCCAAGAAGGGGGACGATCGAAGACAAAGAGGGCGGATACTGAGGGTTTGGGGAACACCGTATACATGTTGAGCGACATGGCTACACGTATACATGCTTGGGGTATGCATGTCGAGCGACACGCGGGCAACGAAGAGCGGGCAGTCCTGAAATGATTGTTGTCGTTGTCGTGTTGTGGTGTCATCGCTGCGTATCCCAGAGGTCGCGGCTCGACCCCTTCCCCGGGGGGAGCTTCCCGTCCCGGGCAAGTGCATGATGGCCCTGGGGCCCGAACGCGGCCTTGGGAGGCCGAAGCGAAGGAGGAGCGCGGGGACCGAGCAGACATCACTCCGCAGGAGGTCGTTCTCTTCGCCACCACGCTTCCTTGGCGATCGTGCGCAGGTGCCGGCGGGGATCCCCCGGGCGCCGCTGGAGCTGGAGCTGGACGTGGAGCCGCAACAGGCCGTCGTGTTCCAGGCGGCCTGCCTGCGCCGTCGTCGCCGCTGCCGGCGCCGCCGTCGTCGTCGGCGAGGGAGGTGGGGGGAAGCAGGGAGGTGGGATGGGGGAGAGGAGGAGGTAGAAAAGGAGGGAGGAGGCGGAAGGAGGAAGGAGGGCAGGAAAGAGGGAGGGGGAGGGACAGCGGAGAGGAGTGGGAGGGCATGGCTGTGGGGAGGAGGAGGAGAGAGGAGGTGGAGGGCGATGAAGAGCAAGACCAGAAGCGGGAAGAGAAGACGGAGGAATAAGGAGGACGAGGAGGAGGACGAGGAGGAGGAAGAGGTGGAGGAGCAGGGGGAGGAGGGAGGATGCGGAGGAGCGGGATGGGTAGGCGGACGAGGATGGGAGCATTTGGAAGTGGAGAGGGAGGAGGAACGAGAGGCGAGGAGGAGGAGGAGGACCAGTGTAAACCCCAGATTCATCAACGATGTTGCAGTAAACCCTCCCTCCAAGTTCCCTCTTCACAGGTCTCTGCAAGGATTCATTGTCACTACGAGGAGTGCCACATCGGAAGACAACCGTTTGAAAATTTTGAATCGTGCCAGAGGGACTTCAGCACCCCGAATCAAAGTGACTGTTGCGTTCTGATAGTCCTACATCGGGCCAAAATACAATACCTGGGACGTCAACTAGAATACTCCTTAATGTTCTGTAAACTCTGAAGACGGATGTTCGCGGCGCGAAAGCGAGAGCCACATTTTGAAACGGAGCCGTCCTCCATCTGTGAAGCATCTACAACATTTTAAGACGAGTGTGCGCGGCGCTGAGACGAGAGCTCTATGTTGAAAAGGGAGCCTCCTCCCATCCGTGAAACTCCCTGGTCAGATCTTAAGATGAATGTGCACGGCGCTAAGGCTAGCACCACATTCTGAAAACCGCGCGCCCTCCATCCGTGAAGCTGGTGCCGATCTTAGTTTTGAGGGTCCTAAATGGTGAGGACGGCTCAGGCGAAACGCCCAGCCCGCCCTACCGACACGTCACGGGGTGCGACAGGGAGGAGTTGTTAATAAGCAAAAGAGATGGAGGACGAGGAGGAGGAGGAGGAGGAGGAGGAGGAGGAGGAGGAGGAGGAGGAGGATAAGGAGGAGGCAGTGGCGCCTGGATTGTGCGCAGCAGCAAGCGGCGGCATCTGTACAGCACTCCAACGGGCCAAGTGCAAAGGTGGCGGACTGCGAGAGAAGGGCCACGGCGGACCGCGGAAGAGGGTCATTCTCAATGATGGTGGTAATGACGGTGATGGCGATCAGGAGTGTGGTCGTGATGGCGGCGATGACCCAGGCCCCTGCCCCGAGGGCCGAAGTAGTGAGAAGAGTCGAGGGGGGTCGAGACCTGGGACCCTGCTGCCATCCTGCGGCTCTGAGCCGGATCGACCCGCGTGGGTCTGCGGCCCGAACTTCATGTTGTTTTCTGGGGGTAGGCCGAGATTGTTTTTCGAAAGTGGACTGACTGATTGACTGAATCATTGACCTGACTGATTGACCGGCTTTCTGATATCGACTGAATGGTCGGTCCCGTCATTGGGTCGCTTTATGATTGGTCGCCAAGTGCGCAGCCCAGTGCGCAACCAATGACAGTCCGTTTTTTTGGCCGCAAAACGCACAATGCAGGGCGCCACCACTAGTTACTTCTTGCGGACGCCGAGTTCTCAACCTATATAGCGCAACCAGTTATAGGGCCTTTGTAGCTCAGTCCGTGCGCCACCAATGCCAGCCACGTTATATCGAGGCGCCGATTGTGCAATTCATGGCGCAACCGACAGACCTGGTTCATCTTCGGCAGATGGGTGCGCAACCTCCGTCGCAACCCATGGTGACCAGACGAATGGCGCAAGCAATAGCGCAACCCATAGAGTGACCCATGGAGCAAACAATGGCGCGACTGATGGATAACATGACTCATGGCGCAACAACTGGTGCAGTACATGGCTGGCGCCACCCACGGAATCCATGGATGGCGCAAGCTATGGCACGGAGCAACTCCTGAGGTGCCCCGTGAGAGGCACACTTCTGGCAAGCTCCACGAAGCCACGCCCGATTCATGCTCGCCGATGGGCTCTGGCCTCCGGACCCATGCATCGAGATGCCCTGTGATTTTCTCCATCCGCTAGCCACACCACTCAACTTTCCGCGGCCGCTTGCTCGCCTTCGGCAGGTGCTCTCTTTGAATCGGACTTCTCTCAAACGCCAGGCGCAGTTCTGTAGCGGAACTCCAGAAAAAGAGGCTGCGCTTGCGGGAGACAGAGACCCTGGCGAGAATTAAGCCCCCATGACTCCGCACGTGCACGAGGGCTGGCATGCATAGAACGGTTCTTGAGGTCGCCCTCCGAGAGCGCAACGTCGGGAAATACCAGATCCCATGACTCCGCAAGTGCACGAGGGCTGGCATGCATAGAACGCTTCTTGAGGTCGCCTCCGAGGGCGCCACGCCCAGAGAGACTCGCCGTCCCGACGCCGACCCCTCCGAGCTCCGCCGGACGTCTTGGGCCCCCTGACGGGCCCGACGCCTGGGCAGGCAGCGGCTGTTGTTGGACCCCTTGCCGCGGGCGGCGGCCCCAGAGAGGCCCGGCAGCCGGGGACGGCCACGAGGGGGGGGTGTTGACCTTGGGGCGGGGGGGGGGTCGCCTGCCTCGAGGTCCTGATCCTCTCATCTTCTGACCTGGGGGAGGCTGGCCTCCCTCGAGGTCCTGATTCTCTCCTCTTCCTCTCCTCGCCTGTGTGTCTGTCTGTCTCTTCTGCGTTTTACTGCCTCCGCGCCAGCTGGCGACTCCTGGAGCGGTGCTCCAGGAGTCGCCTGGCTTTGGTTTGACCCCCCCCCCAAGGGCCGACCGGCCCTTGGGGGGAGGCTTTGTCAGCACGACCATGCAGCCACCAGGAGCCAGGCACCAGGGGTGGGGTGGGGTGCCATGGACGGGACCATGAAGGCTCCCAGATGTCATGGGCTCGTCTTCTCGTTTCAATGCGTCCCCTGATCCCCCCCCCACGTCCGCGCACATGCCTCGGGCCATGGTTCGCGAGCTCTCCCCTCTTGGACGCCCCCGGGGTAAGCCCCCCCGTGGGGCCCGAAGATGTCCCCACAATCTTCCGCCGTGATCCTTCCACGACGCGAGGGCGACGGGGGCCACTGGCAGCCACGGGACGGCCACGGCCCCGGCCACGGTGGGAACCGCTCGACCTCCGCCTGCGCCCGTGCCTCCTCGTTCTCCGCCCCCGCCTCCCCAGGCTGGGTCGCGCCGTGACAGAAATCACGACGGGAGGCTTTCGTCTGGTTTCGGCCTCCGGGGGTCCTCGCAGGGCCTCGAACGACTCGGGATGAAAAGCCGACTTCGCGGAAAAGGATCGGTGGACCGCGCTGCGAACAAATCAGTACATCGCAGGTTTGGGTTCCCTTCCTCCTCTTCCTCCTCCTCCTCCTCCTCCTCCTCCTCCTCCTCCTCTTCCTCCTCCTCTTCCTCCTCCAACGCCTCCTCCTCCTCCTCCTCCTCCTCCTCCTCCTCCTCCTCCTCCTCCTCCTCCCTCCTCCTCCTCCTCTCCTCCTCCCCTCCTCCTCCTCCTCCCCCTCCTTCCTCCTCCTCCTCCTTCTCCTCCTCCTCCTCCTCCTCCTCCTCCTCCTCCTCCTCCTACCTCCTCCTCCTCCTCCTCCTCCTCCTCCTCCTCCTCCTCCTCCTCCTCCTCCTTCTCCTCCTCCTCCTCAACCTCCTCCTCCTCCTCCTCCTCATCCTCCTCCCCCTGCCTCGCCAGCAGGACACGGTCTCAGCACAGACTGTCGCCGTGGGTCTCCGACGTGCCCGAGGCCGCCGAGGGCCTCGCGGATGTGCTTGCCGAGGGCCTCGCGGAGGAAGGAGGAGAGGAGGAGGAGGAGGAGGAGGAGGGAGAGAGGAGGGGAGGAGGGAGGGAGGAGGAGAGGAGGAGGAGGAGGAGGAGAGGAGGAGGAGGAGGAGGAGGGGAGGAGGAGGAGGAGGAGGAGGAGGAGGAGGGAGGAGGAGGAGAGGAGGAGGAGGAGGAGGAAGAGAGGAGTTGGAGGAGGAAAGGAGGAGGAGGAGGAGGAGGAGGAGGAGGAGGAGGAGGAAGAGAATGAGGTGGGCTGGCCGTCCGCCTGGGGAGCCCGCGGCCCGCCCGCGCGCCTCCGAGGTGCGCGCGCGCCTCCGCGCGCCGGGTGCGCGCTGGGGCCCACCGCTGCGCTCTGCGGCGCTGCCGCCGCGGCTGCTGCCCATCTCGGCCGCGGCGCCGATGGTGGCCGCGGCCCCGGCCGGGGCCGGCGGGAGTCGGTCTTGTCGTCGGATGGGTGGGCGGCCAACCCTGAGATCCGACGCTCCAACAAAAATGGGAGCGGGCTGTTTGGGGCCGTGTTCTGCCTCTGGGCCCTCGCTGGGCTTCGGGAGCGTCAGAAAACAACTCAGGACAAAAACCGGCCCTAGAGAATTGGTCCAGACCTCCGGTGCCCACGCATCGAAAACATTGGAGCAGCTGGATGTCTGGGAAGAGGGGGTGATGCCTAGGGGGGTGGGATAACATGGCGGGGGCCATGATACCTCCCCAGCTTTCATGGCGCCTTTTCATGGATTACATCCCCAGCCCCCCCCCCTGGCCGCGCACATGTCGCTGGCCATGATTTGCGCCACCCCCCCTCTTGGACGACCCCTCTTGGACGCCCCCGAGTCGGTCTTTTCGACGCAGGGCCGGGCAGATCGAGGCGCGGCCGTTTTCTTTGTTTGAGGTTTCCCCGTTTTGGGGGCCTCGCCGTGCTCTTCGGGGCCCTGGGAGCCGCCCTGGGGGCCGCCTCGGGGGCGAGGTTTGGAGATGTCGTTCGTCCTTTTTGCTCGTCCTGGGGCGCTCTCGTCGCCACGGCTTGGTGCGCCTCGGAACAGTTCCTTGGGGGAGAGCCGGTCATCGAGGGTCGGGAATGTCCGAGGGAGGGGGAGCGACACCCTCCTTCAGCAGGCCACCTCCAGCGAGGTGGTCCACGATACCTCCTCCCCCGAGCTG